AACTGCATCTGAACAAACCATTCCCTCTCCCACCACACTCTACTAAATTGGAAGGGGGGCTTGTCTGCCCAGTTTAAACTGGCCAATCGGGACACATCTATTATCACACCTACTCAGTGAGCCAATAAAGGAGCTGCTCTGGAGGCTTGGCCTTCTGTAAACTTCAGGACAAGATGGCCTCCACAAGGAAGAAACTCTGACAGGTAAGGGCTTCCCTAAACTTTGTCTTTTTGACAGGCTGCTCACTTTAATCAGACAAGTAACTTTAGGAAGTACAATTCTCTTGGTAGCCAAGGGAATTGTAAAGCTAAATAAAAATAAAAAAATTTAAAAAGGCCGATGTGTGGTTCACCTCTGTACACAAAAGGTCTGCGTCTGCTGTGGAGCTCATGCTTCCTAACAGGGTCATTCAGGGCTGAAATATTATCAAAAGCCTTCAAGTCGCCTTAGTTTCATCTGAAAGTAACAGCTGATGAAATATTACACCATCTCATCACAGCAGGTCAATTTTATTTGATGCAATCTACAGAAAATTACCACAAATTTAGTAATTCATGATGGATTAGTCATGCATTTTCTTTGAACACCAGTGTAAAAACTGTTATCTACCACTGTTATGTTAAGGGTCTTAGAAAGGTTAAAAACAGGCAAAATGTTATCTCATTATGTGTTTTTTCACATATGTGTTTGTGGCTCCTTACTTGCTTAGGTTTTTATGCCATATTTGCCATTCATTTTTCATTAATATTTGCTCAAATCAAATAAGTTTTGAAATCACACATTTCTACTAAGGAATCTGTATGAACATTTACTGTGTGATATATTGTGTAAGTGTTGTGGTAGCGTTACTAAGGATGCTACATTTTGTTTCATATATTTCAATTACCTTTGGCGCTAAACTGGTCCAGCCTGATTTCGAGTCGATGCCTCGCTGGTAAACAGCCTGGAACTCAGCCAAGATTACAGGGTAGTTTGCTTCCAAGACCTCAATGTCATGTCGATGCGCATCACGTGGGAAGAAAGGAACACTTGGGACATCTGGCAGGAAGAACAGATGAGGCTTCTGTATCGCAGAGAGATCATTCAGCCTGACCTGAAGAGAGAACAATGAGAAATCAATAGTTATGGCTTAATAATGCTTCAAAAATGTTTCCAAATGTGGAGTAATGACGACTACTTTTACACAGTGTTATGCAGCTGTAGTGCTGTGCAGACACATCTTGGACTAGTATGAAATAACTAATATATATGCAAGATTGACTGCCAGGAACAAACATACCTGCTCACGGAGGCCCTTATGAATGCGTCCCATGCCCACCCAACTGTAGCGTTTGGCATATTCCTGCAGTGCTGTGTACAGCTTCTTGGCTTCTGCAGATGCCTGGGCAGGGAACAAGGCATGACTCAGCACTGGGGTGAGGTAGCCCTGTCCCTGCTCCTCATCCTCCACTGTTTCCATGGAAATAAAAGGAGTAATTTGATCGCTCCTCGACAGCTTGGATCGTGCACTGCACTTTGTTCCGATGCAGCTGCCGCTACGGGACATCATGGAGCGTCTCGAGCTCGACTTGAGCTTTCCAGCATGTGCGTGGCCTGGGATCGGCATGTCGGAGCCCATCCGATAGCAGTGCCACAGAAACAAGAGCAGGAGGGTCCACAGGAGGCCACTCAGTGAATGGACGCCGAGCTCAACGTACGGAGGCAGCGGCAGAGTGTTCATTGACCAATGCATCCTCGGAATTTGGGAGACACTAATATACTGAAATAGAAACAGATTGAGGGGTTATGGTTGTGCAAAAATGTGTGCAATCTGGCAAAGCACTGTTATATATATATCACCATGAATCTGCAGTTTCTACAAGCTGAACTTGTAGTTATGTGTGTAATTAGTGATATCTTTCTGAATTTACATAATAAAAACAGAAAAGAGGTTTTTTCTTGAGACATTATTTTGGCTTCTCCAGGTCTGAGAGATCCTAGCAGAGGGAGGAAAGGCTTTGTTAAACACGCACAGTCTGACGAAAATGATGAACTGTCCTGGTTTCAAACAGACAACTCATTAATTTGCTTTCTTCACTTTAATCCCCTTTCAGGTCACGAAGGACCGAAGCATGTCCCAGCATGCACTGGTAAGAAATTAGTGAAACATTCAGGTCACTTGTCCATCAGAACCACTGACCCTTTGGTTTAGTTGTCTCTAAAATTGGCATGTTGTTATGTAAGTGCTGATCTTGGACCCTTTGTTCTCTGAACAAACTAGCTGAGGATTCCACTGCAGGCAATATTCTGAAGGCTTTCTATCTGCACTATTTAGCTATGTCAGTTTATTCTCTTTGAAGCACCCCAGTGTTTTTTTTTTTTTCTTAGCGCACAGAGAAGTCTACAAAGTCTTCTCTGCTTCAGTAGTTTCCCTATAAAACATACTTAATACGGTTTTTGTCATCCAGAGTAAAATTATACTGTACAGTGTCTCTTCTGTTAGCTGAAAATGAAAACTGATCACTTAGTTTCAGCTGCAGCTGCTGAAATAGTTGAATAAGATTTTTCACAAACAGTATCAGCATTTAAGCTGGTACTTTATTCAAATCAAGTTTACTGAATACAAAACTTACAGATGTGTTTAAATGCATGTTATTTTTCTTTAAAATATATCAAAATTACCATGTTTATTAGAGCCAGAAACTATAGATTTTAAACTTTTTACCAGTTTTTGAACAAATCATGTATGATGTGTGGTTTTATCTTGGAAATTAACCAAATTGCATTGATAATAATAGAAAATTATTTTGATTATTCACTAAAATCACTCTGTTCAACATGTCTTGTTGATCCTCTGCAACTGAGAAGCTATGACAGACTCATCTGCAACCAACAGTCGTGACCAAAATATTGGGACTAATCAACTGAACTGCAGGCTGTACTTGAGCAGAATAGACAGAAGAGAAGTATGGAAACTAATTCGAGACTAAGAGCAAGATGGAACATATGAATGAGCAATAAAATAAAAACAACATGGCTCAAAAACTGTATACAGAGGAGCAAGTTATCAGCATATGTCAAGAGCTGATGTACAGAGTAATGTGAAAAAGATTTTTTTTGTAAAGTAAGCACTGAAATGTAACTTTTGTTTGTCCATTGTTTTTTTGTAATTATATTTATAATTTCGTCATACTTGTCGGATATTTTTTGAGTTCTCGCGACTTCTCGCCGAATATGAGCCCACAATAAGTGGGAATGTGGCAGCAGCAATAAATAAATAAATAAATAAATAGCTTGGGCTTCAGAGAGTTAAAACGGTGAACAAATACATTTTAATATTGCATGAACCCTGCAAAAGCATTTGGGCTGTATAGAAATTGGATTTCTGCTTTGATGAATTGCAGATAATAAAACAGAAGATATCTAGTGTGAAAAATAGATTTACAGCCGATTTCATGAACCATACTGTGGAGTGCAGTGGGCTGTCCAAAGTTACTGTTACGCACAAGCAGAAAACACTAATACATGCACGTCCGTGCGCGCGTGTGTGTGCATGTGCACGCGTGGGGATGGGAGGGCTTTTCCTCCCTGTGGGTTTATTTGAGCGGATTCGTTTCGGGGCAGCATCAATATGGATGGTATTGCCCACTGGAAACACCACCGGCTGCAGCACGGCTACGCATCATAAAAGCGTCTCATAAATGAAGTCCCTGCCACATACATTTTGCATTTCCTCTGCACCATCAGCCCCCACAGCTCGGCTGGCTCATGTTTACGGTCCATCTTAGCGCAAACATCCACCCATTCCAGGAAAGCGCGGCGCAAACATGTTCGCCATGCAGACCGTGTGGCACATGCAGGCCTTTTAAATGAGCAAACATGCAGTATTTCGCCCACTGCGTGCTGCATGTCACATATTTCTGTCAGGTTACCTTGATAACACCGTGCAGCGCTGTGTCGGACGCACTCCAACACCGTGTCGGTGGACGCTCCTCCAGCGCTCACACACTCAAAATGTGGAGAGCTGCCGCGCGTCGCTGCAGTGACCGCGTCCCGCCGCTAGGGCGCACCTGAAGCCTCCACACAAATGCCCTCACATCATAGCCGAATGCGTCAAGCACACGGTAACCAGCTAGGGGCATCTCACCAGCACAAACCCCGCCGCGTTTCCCGGCCTAAAGCAACAGGATACCCGCCAAGATAAAATAAAGACCGTCAGCCTGGAAGACGAAGGTAAGCGGCGGACACCTCTCAGCGCTGCAGAGATGCTTGTCGGTCTCTCAGTGGTGATGACTGATGTCAAAAATCATCCTCCGCACAAAGAGGGCCCGGGGAGGTGCGAGTGATGCTGCCTCGTACAGCCCCATCATTTTGTCACACAGCACGGCTGCTGTTTTCACCGAGGAAACGCCTCGAATGACAGCGGAGGAGCTTTTTTGACACATTCATCACCATCAGCGGGCCATCACACGTTAAGGTTTTCCGGCGTACCTGCGGTGAAGGTGGGCTGCTCTGCTCAATTTTGGAATAGCGCATTTTCGGCATGTTGTTGCAGATTTGGGTGAGAAAATGCAGAGGGGGGAGTCTGAATATTTAACCTTAAACCGTGCTGCGATGCTCTTTTCTGTTACAGAGGATTTTTTTATTTATTTATCTGACATGCAGGCCTGTGCTTCTGTGCTGTATAAATGAATGGATTATTCACAGATTGTCTGAGCTGAGCTTTTCCAGTAGCCTATCATCGCTATGATCTCCTAATCCGAGTCATTGTGGCCTGTGTGATGTAAACATATGATCTGAGCTGAGAGACACTTTGCAGTCACAGGCTAATCATTTGTTATCCATCACCACTGCTGCCATCACGGGTTACTTCTGTGCTTCTGCCACTAATTATACGCTATTAATAATCATTACAGTATCCCGCAAGAGACAGTAATTGTCTATTTACATGATTACATAACAGTTCACTAATCGACCTGCTCACTTTAACCTTCTCAGGTCATTCAGTTCCATCCAAAGCCATGGGGTTCACACGCCTTGCTGTGGTGCTGTCTGTCACCATGATCCACCTTGTTTCAGGTAACAGTGCCCGAGTGTGTTTGCTCTGTGTTTGTTGTTCCGCCACAATTAAGCACTGATGCAGAATATTCAGTTCATGTTGGAGAATGTCGTTTCTGTGCTGTGTGCTCCTGCTAAGTTTGTTTTTAATGTCGGTGCACATGACCAAAGCAGTAACTGGTCCTGGTTATTTCAGGGATGAGCTTTATGACTCCTGAGCCTGATACACCACCAACATCAACCCCAGACTCTTACCCACTGGGAGACCTGATCCATGCTGCCCTGCAGAGTAAAGAGTACTTAGGACAGGCTCCTGCAGGCACAGGTACACAGAGCTTTATGGGTTCAGACAGGGGTTCAACGATACGGGTTTTAATCAGAGTCAATGCAGATGAATTGTAATGAAGGAGACCAATATTCAATATTTAAAGCTGATATTGCAGTAAATATGAAAATGTTGGTGTCAGAATTTTGAAAAACAAACTGCAACCTGAAACTTTGTTGAAAGGCTTCTGTTTATTTATGGTTAACATACGTTTGATTAAAAGTGTTGATAGACTATTACTTGCTCTGTGAGCAGGACCACAGTGTGGCGACTACAAATAGAGAGATTTGGCTCCATCTCGGCCAAAAAAAGACATGTTGTTGTTATTGGGCTTCAGTTAAAAATAATAGACTTCATTAATCAGAAAATGCTGAATGTCAGATACCATGCTGATAATATGGCTGCAACTAACGATTAATGTCATTGTTGATTAACCTGTCAGTTATTTTCTGGCTTAATCAATTAGTTGTTTGGTAAAATATGTCGGAAAATGGTGAAAAATGTCAATTAGTGTGTCTGAAACTCCAAGATGAAGTCCTCAGATGTCTTGTTTTGTGCACGAACCCAAAGATATTCAGTTTACTTCCATAGAGGAGTAAAGAAACCAGATCATAACATTTAATGGGCTGGAATCAGAGAATTTAGACTTTCTCCTCTTAAAACTGTCCATTTAATAATCCACATAGCAGGGGATTAATTCACTTCTAGACAACTATTCGCTGCAGTTCTAGCTGATATTCGTGGCTTTGGTAACGCAGCTACAGTACAGCATGGAGGGTTGTTTGTTGGAGATGACACACGCTGAGTTGAACCTGTTGGTTCTGCAGGTACCACCACCAACCCGACGCAGGCCGTACCTCGACTTGGGCACACTGAGTCCGCGGCGACGGCCATATCTCCAGGGCTCCTCACCACAGCTTTAAGCTCCTCCTCTGCAGCAAGCCAGCCAGGATCCAGGAATACCATGTCCTCGCTGCCCGTAGAGGAGGAGACCACCACCACTCTGATCACCACCACCACCATAACCACCATGCACATGCCAGGTACCCGCACGCCACCATCTGGCTTCCCCTCGAGCCTCGGTGGTTTATTGCTTGATGTGGTTCTGACAAAGAAATGCTTGAAAACGTAGTTCAGAATCTCACCTGCAGCTGTAGAGCTGCTCAGATTTTACTGGCTTCAAATTCGTACCGAATCCGGTTCCTTCTGATCACAACATCAGCAAATTTTTTCTCAACGTCATTTTGAAGAGAGAAAAACAAGAAGATGTTGACTGACAAGGTAAGATGAAACCTTCATAAAATATTAAGGATGAACAGCAGCAGGTTACAATGTGAGGTAATAGTAAAGACAAAGATGTATGTGGACTTTATATTTTATTTTTGTCAGAAGAAACCAGTACTGTTACGTAACCAGTAGTTACTTAAAGCATATGTTGAGGCTATCCATAAATATGCTCACCATGTCATACCTGTACATATCCACATATAAATTCACCATGTCATGTGCATATATCCATATTTATATACACACATATAAATTCACCACGTCATTTGTATATGGCAAGCCGTTTAGGAAAATTATATATATATATATATATATAATGAAAGTCTGAATATATGGAATGAAACTCTGAATATATGGAA